TATGATCCATACTTCCTAAATTCTAAGTGGTGCAGGTGAAATTTGTCTGCTAGGTACTTTCAATGTTACCCTGAATTAGTGCAGATATGCAGAAAAAAAGTTTCAACCCCTGACTTTTGTGATGAGAGTTTTTGAAAGGGTAGGATTTCATTTTGAAAAGTTATTTTTTCTATTTATTAGAATTCAGCACAAGTACAAACATACCAGTGGAAGGGAGGACAAAACATGTGTATGGACACCTTTACAAGTTGTCCTCCCAAACACAACAATATAAATACAGTGCAATACAAATTACAAAGTCGAACAATTGTTGACATGAAATACAAATTCCTACAATAACATACAATAGTCATAAAAATACAATACAATACACTGCCATAAAAATATCATTCATTGTATACAATTGTTATGCACCCAAGATGTTTACTTACCTCCTTTTTGTTTACAAACAGATGCAAGACATCGTGGATCAGGAGGCCATGTCACAGTACATGAAGCCCTCGCGTACCGAGGAGGCGTCCAACAACCGCCCGGCCCACTCCAAGGGGTTCGTGGTGCGGGACGCCCCGTGGAGCGCCGCCCCTCCCGACAGCACCGACACCACCGAGTTCCCCACCCTGGGGAACACGGCCAGCACCGCCCCTCCCGTGCAGGGCGGGGCTGTGCGTTGGGGACCACGCCGCTAAGCTCCCAAATCAGTGTAGACCCCCCCTCCCCTCCCCCCTCTCAGCAACTGCAGCGTACTACGCCTCTGTCACTGTTGACTACATCTTAGGCTTGTGTAATGGGGAGTTACGAGGATTGTCGTGTTACAAGTGAGCATGTCTGTTTTCTGTTTGCGTCGCAAATATCTCGCCAAGCCATGTCCGATGTACGCTTACGTGAGAAATGGAGCATCTGAAGAGCCAAAATTTGTTGTTTTTCTAAGTGTTTACAGTCCCCATTTTCACATTCCTAAGCTGTTGTCTGTTGCTCGGATACTTCTGACCCTAAACGACACCCTCGCATCTTGCAGCTGCTTTGACGTCATGTTTACCAGATATTATTGACTTGTGTGCCTTGAACTAAAACACCATAGAGTGTAACCCATGATTCTTAACAGTATACATGTGCAAAGTACGAAAATAAAAAGGGATGGACTTTACAGTAGATAAGCGACAATCAGGAATGGGACAACGTATGTTGATTTGTATGGACATTTCTGCAATAACACTAGCAAGAACCTGTCATACACATCCTTGGCTTCTTGGTGTAAAAAGCAGGAAAAGTGTATGATTGTCACAAATATTGTAGTTAACTCTAGTACTAGTAGGCAAAAAAAATGTTCTTTTTCAAGTATGAGCAAATGTCTGATGATTATTCGTGTGTTCATGAGAGACTGATCAGACTAGCAATTGTTCCACTTTGTCATGTATGAATGATGTTTTTTTCTTCTTTCTTTCATAATTCTTTCATTAATTCCTTTCCTTTCATGGTGCTGCCTTGAATGAAAGTGCATGAGTGGCAAAATGACTGTCCTATGATGTAAAAGTAACTATAGCTCTTTGCCAACTGAACAACAGTAATTTTTCCTTTCGTGTCTTTACTACTATGCTACTGTTACCATTTTTTCATCAAGTCTAGGAAAAAAAGTGGAAATAATAGAAAATCTAAGGGAAAAGTATAAAAAAAGAACTAATTCCGTAATGGAAAAATATGGATAATATCAACAAACTTCCAATAGTATTATGGAGATGTTAAGTTATAGGGTACAAATTCTGTATTTTGCCTGAGCCACTACTTTACGAGGACGTAGTAGTTAGGCACCCTAGGCCCTAGGGAAACGTGTAAAGGGTCATGTTTGCTGCAACTTGGCAGACATGCCTGATGAAAAGTGCTTCTCACACAGAGGAAGCCTGAAGAAATAAAACTAGATACTACGATGACAATTCTGACGTCTTTTTTTTCTTTCTTGTACTGAGGCCACACCAATTTAATTTCTTGGTTAACGGATTTTTCTAGAAAAAAAATGGAGCGGGCGGGCGAAAAAATAAAAACAGGCCTAGGCATCCTATCATGGCCCAAAATGGTACGATAGGAGCCATGAAGTCAACACACCAGGCTGGTTCAAAATCTAAACAATGAATTTTGAACTTTTAATGATACCATTGCATTGAAAGATGGAATAACTCTAACAACTAGGATGAAAAAGGACTGTTTTCAACTGTTCAGGGCAAAATATGAGCATTTTGCAGTTGATTCTGAATTTTTATTTTTATTTGCAAATCAGAAAAAAATGAAGCGGGCGAATCCGTTAACCATGAAATTAGATTGGTGTGGCCTGATAGGTCTATTTTGAAGACCTCACTATCATATGCTTGAGGAATATGTCAGAGGATATCCTTGCATTTCATTTAACAACTGATGTACATGTAGTTCACCAGGGCAAGTTCAATTATATTAATATGGAAATGAAAGATATGTGAAATAATGACACCATGCATTGTGCAGGTGTTTGAACTAGACGGCCTTTACTAATCTACAAGCAGATCTTTCGGACAGTATCCAATTGGCCAGTATGTAACAATTTCCCACCGAAGGGTGTTAAATGTCATTTAATTGCTGTAGTGCTTCAATTTTTATCAAAATACGGTAAAGACCTAATCTCCAAGCAGATCTTTCGGTGGGGGAAGACAGTATCCAACTAGAGAAGTAACATTTGCAAAGCAAATGCATAATGTTTACCTTCGGACATGGTCTGCCCTGTTAATTTTTATTCAAACACATTCACACACATGTGCTACAAGTATATGGTGTCAGACAAGAGTAGAGCAGACCATGAAATTGCAACATTATGTATCCCAACACCAGTCACCATGGTGGCAGACGTCAACAAATCATGTCATTGGCCAGGTCAGAGGCTAGTGTTTGGAACAGAAGAGGAAGAAACTAAGTAAAAACAGTATGTTTTCCTTCGGTAACAATAATTAACCAGTCTGTAACAATTTCCCACCGAAGGAAAATTTCATACAGTTGGATACTGTCTTCCCCACCGAAAGATCTGCTTGGACATTAGGTCTTTACCGTATCTTGATAAAAAATCGAAGCCATGCCGCACTTCACTGAGAAATGTGACTTAGGAATGATCCTTCCAAAAAGAGGTGAGCGGTAGTGCCACTGTTGTACAGTATAGCCTATTCCTATCTCGTACTGTAGTTTGAAGTGGCCAGACAACAAGCCCTTGTCTTTATCCCGTATCTTTATTCCATATTTGCTGCGTAAGCTTTTAGCATGTTTTCTTCTACATGGTAGGCACATGCTCAGCACTAGACCTTCAGAAGAACAGGTTTTGCCTGCACTCTGACGTCAATGAATATGTAATCATTTCCGGTGCACACCTTTCGATGAGGCCATGTTGATTTGATTATATGGATGACATCCGCGCGCGCATGAATTTTCGACCGTTTCCCCCCCAAAAAAGTTTTCAACCATATTGTAAATCGTACAAAACAGTTGCAAAATGAGCCAATATATACAGTAAGTTGCACAAAAAATATTGGAAAACGATACCAATGTCGTAGAATGCCAAAATCAAACGAAAAAGACGAAAATCTAAAAAAATGAATTTGAACAGTAGATTATTCGCCACACCATACCCTGTGTCATTTATTCAACCTTCATGACAATGTTGATTTCATTTTGAAAGCACATTTTTTTTTTGCCAAAATTTTTTTTATTCGCACGCTCGCATCAGTTTTGGGTTTCCCAGAGGACGTCATCCATATAAGGCAACACCAAGTAAATTTCATGGATGACGTCCTTTGGAATCCCTAAATTTAATGCGAGAGGGCGAAAAAAAAACAAGATGCCTAGATTAGAAATATACTAAGAGACGACAAATGTTAGGAAACAAATTGAATGAGGTGACACAGATTAACAAGCAAGAAGTCTTTTATTCATCATCAAAACAGCAATAAATCAGGTGGAACAGCAGTTGTCATCCTGTCCTGTTTCCTTTCTTTAATCACATCTTCCCTTACCCTACTGTTGTAACTCTTTGGTCATAGTTACAGGAAGCGGAATTTCTTGGTTTTTTTTTCTAGGAACAGGCCAAAATCAATGCGCGCGCGGACGTCATCCATAAAATTTACTTGGTGTGGCCTAATCAAATCAACATGGCCTGATACTTATTCAGACGTCACTCCCTATACTTAGTGCCTCTCTCAACTTAGCCCACCCCTAATTACCGTCCAATGCGTCATACGTCCCGCGGCTAGAGGTCACCGAAGAAACTTGTTCAACCGGCTTTAGACCTCGTCTCACCATTAAAAATGGCGGTCACACCAAGAGTCAAAGTACTCTGGTCGGTGTTCCTAGGTCTGAGTTCCCTGGTCTTACTCATAAACTTCTCAGAAACGATTTGGAGTAAACTGGACAAGGCGACGTACATATCTCTACCTTCTCGGCAACAACAAGACCAGAATTTAAGGTGAATGGCTCATTTGTGAACACACCATTACATCTATTAGTAACAGCACAGTTACGTAGTGTAGCCTATCCCTAGTTTATTCTGCTGTCGTCTGATTATCATATTTCGTATATCACACGTTACTATTAACTACTGTAGTAATCATGATCCGACCCACTTAACGCAAATGACGCCACATTATGCACTTTACTTCTTACAGGTAGCCCCTCCCTCCCATACCCTACTAACTGCCGTATCTTTGATATTGTGTTCAACTATATTCATCACACTGGAAGATTTGACCAATCTCATTAACGCTATACATGTAGGCATTGGTGCGCCAGCCACTTTCATTTTTATGTTCATGTTATAAAGGTCTTCATTCATTCATTCATTATATTTTATGTCATCTTTATGTTTACATTTGTATTATGTTTTATGAGCAGCGGATTCACATGAGCATTAAGCACAACAAGTGCTTCCGGATCTAATGCTCAAAAATCCATGTGAATAAAAAAAAATGATTACTAGTTACAGTGACGCAGTTTTAGGACAAGGCGGCCGACATCTTACGAGAGAAGAGAGTGTCTTGAGCAATGTCACCTGTACGGAACCTGTCACCAACTTTGTTTTTATCAAGGTATGGACCGCACTCCACATAAATATAAAAACTACACGCAGAATGGTGCTCCAAGAGAACAAAATACACCTGAAATTATTTTTCCATACGAATAGAGGGCATGATACTCAGCAAATGTTTACTTAAGGTTACTTTGCACCCTTAAAAGATGTCATGACGTTATATGTGTGCAAAATCCATCGTAACGTGTATTAGGTATTTACTGTATGGATGTTTTGGTTGGTGTGTACATTTTAGGTCCACAAGACTGCTTCATCCAGTACCGTAGTCGTGTTGCTGAGGTTTGCGTACGATCATCACCTGGTCATGTGTTATCCACACACATCGTGGGGGATCGCTGGGTTTAGGCTGACCTTCCCAAGGTAGCTGTCCCTAATGATTATAGCTATGGGAGTGAGTGAGTGAGTGAATGAGTGAGCAAGTGAGTGAGTGAGTGAATGCATGAGTGAGTGAATGAATGCATGCATGAGAGTGCGAGAATGAGTGGGTGGGTGGGTGAACGAGTGAGTGAGCGAGTGAATGAATTAGTGAATTAGTGAGTGAGTGAGTGAGTGAGTGAGTGAGTGAATAAAAGTGGGTGAGTGAGTGAATGAATGAATGAATGAGTGAATGCATGAGTGAGTGAATGAATGAGTGCATGAGTGAATGAATACGTGAGTGGGTGTGTGGGTGAACGAGTGAGTGAGTGAATACATGGGTGAGTGAATGAATGAGTGGATGCATGAGTGAGTGAATGAATGAGTGGGTGGGTGGGTGAATGAGTGAGTGCGTGCGTGTGTGTGTAAATTTCTAGTAAATTTCTATATACATGTATAGACCTATGGTACGTCTGATCAATTTAAACCTTTTCTCCTTTAGCTCGAAGATATACAAGTCCAACTGCAGTCGTTGGCAGCAAATTGGTGATCACTTCAACTTCTTAGTACATCACACAGTCTTCAACAAGACAGCGATGGACCGGGTCATGAAACCAGGCACCAGGTACATCGGCATCATGCGAGAACCCCAGAGCCACATACGCTCCTGGTTCTTCTACAACCGCCACCATCGCATCTACAAGAACCAGGGACATAAAAACCCGCTCGGGGAATATCTCGACAACCCCGAGCATTTCGAAGAGTTGGCAGGGAGACGGAAAAAACGACCGTATGTAGGGGATAGAAACAAGCAAGCTCACGAGTTGGGTTTTCCACCAGAACTACTCAACACAGAAGACACCGACACCATGGACACGGCAATCCGACAGCTCAACCAATCCTACACCTTCATCATCATCAGTGAATACTACGAAGAGTCCCTTGTGATGCTGAGACGGAAGCTGTGTTGGGATATGTATTACATACTGCACTCCAACAAGAAGATCCACGAGCAACACAACCCAAAGAAATACATCCCCTTCACGGACAAACAGTTGGAGAATCACAGAAGAATCAACACCATAGACTACAGAATGTACGACTTCTTCAACAGGACATTCTGGAAAACCGTCCAAGAGGAAGAGAAAAGAGGGTTTTGGGAAGAAGTGGCGTACTTCAAAGACTTAGTAGAAAGAGTTAACAGTTATTGCTTGACAAGTGATAAAAACAACACTGTGGAAGTTCCAATAAGTAAATGGCATAAACCTTTCTCAGTCGATGATACGTTTTGTAAAGATTTGAGTCAGACACCAAAAGTATTGGCCAGGAAGTTGTTTTATCAGATGATACGCCGTGATAAAATTTGGAAGAAATCTAATATAAATGAACAAGAAAACAGTTCCTTGATAGATTCTGAAACACAATCTAATGAGTTGCTTGAATAACTGTTTTCTTTTGTATCTATCTCATTGCCTGGATGTCTATGCTTCATCGACGTGTCTTCTATAAATGTTGCATAAGGCCACACCAATTTAATTTCTTGGTTAACGGATTCGCCCGCTTCATTTTTTTCTGATTTGCAAATAAAAATAAAAATTCAGAATCAACTGCAAAATGCTCATATTTTGGCCTGAACAGTTGAAAACAGTCCTTTTCTTCCTAGTTCTTCCTATTTCCATCTTTCAATGCAGTGGTATCATTAAAAGTTCAAAATTCATTGTTTAAATTTTGAACCAGCCTGGTGTGTTGACTTCATGGCTCCTATCGTACCGTTTTGGGCCATAATAGGATGCCTAGGCCTGTTTTTATTTTTTATTTTTTCGCCCGCCCGCTCCATTATTTTTCTAGAAAAATCCGTTAACCAAGAAATTGAATTGGTGTGGTCGTAATCATGAATACGAAGTTGCTGTCGTTATAACCCGAAATGGCGAAATCTTTTATCTTATGATTAGAATACTTATTACATGTATGTTTTCATAAGACGATTACCGTTGACCATGTCACATTGTACACGTCCACCATATATATAGTATTACCACGTACTACTGTGTAGTACTACAGTATGATAACAAATAAATGTTGGATTTTCTTTGCTAAGATTCCAATTATCAAAATCACAATATTATGCATGAATGTGTACTGGAAAGATTATGATTGATAGCGACAGAGAGGTAGGCACCATATACATAATTGACCTTCTATTATTATATATATATATACTAGTAGTCAAGTCAAGTCAATCTTTATTGCACAACAATTGTAACGGGTACAATGCATGGCAAACTCTTCAGTACTACATATCTAGCTAACATCTACTCTCACGTCTACAGTATTACCTACACGTTCTATGTATCGAAAATAACCTTATACTATTTCAAAAAGGTAATATAGTACATGTATATGTATGGAACATATTTATTATTTGTAAGCCGATTTTATCAAATGGTATCGGATGCCGTTGTGACTACGTACTGGTGTGTTTGTTGCCTCTTAACGAAACACATCCCCCCCCCCCAAAAAAAAGATCACGTCCTCCGAGGCTCTGGCCTGGCTCTAGACCTGGGGACTTAGCGATAATACGGAGCCAGCGATAACTCTGAAAGATGGCACCCAGGCTACCGAAGCTCCAGGACTCAAGAACTCAGTACATACGTGCAGTGCTATATCATACATTCCGAAAAAAAGCATGTGCCGGCAAATTCACAATACCAGCTATGTATTCCTATGCATGTTTAGTAGCATTTTTATTTTTGGCCGGAATTTTTTTTATTCGCCCGCGCGCACTAGTTTGGGGGTCTTCAGAGGATGTCATCCATAAAATCAAGTCGGTGTGGCCTAATATATACTTGGAGATGTAGTGACCCACCGCCCCCCCCGCCCCCCCCACACACATCGTAACTGCATGCTATTTATATGATTATCTTGAAAAATTGACTGGAAAATGTTTGAACATTAGGCGGGGTTGAATTAAGCGGCACACTTAACTAAGCTTTCACGAGGCCACACACGTACACACACGTGTTGTCATCAAATTGCATATAATTAGAGGATTTCAAGATCTGAACATCTTAGATTAACAGAATATTTCCAGACTTGCTGTTCAATCAAGGAGGAGAACCTTTGCTTGAACCTAAAGGCGGTTTACCGGTTATATGTAACACATTAGACAGTTGCACCACATTTTTCTTTGAAATTGCATTAGGCCACACCGACTTAATTTTATGGGTGACATCCGCGCGCGCATTGATTTCCGACTGTTCTACAAAAAAAAAGAGATATCACGTCCTCCGAGGCTCTGTCCTGGCTCTAGGCCTGGGTAGTCCATGGTAGTTAGCGACAATACGGAGCCGGTGGTAACTCTGGAGGACGGCACCCAGGCTACGGAAGCTCCAGGACTCAAGAATGTAGTACACACGTTCAGTGCTGATTCATAAATTCTGCATCAAGCCAGCATGTGCCGACTTGTCGTATATGTACTCCCGCAAATGCACAATATCAGCTTTGTATTCCTGTGGGTTAGTAACATTTATATTTTTGGCTGGAATTTTTTTTATTCGCCCGCGCGCACTATAGCTAGTTTGGGGGTCTTCAGAGGATGTCATCCATAAAATTAAGTCGGTGTGGCCTTATTGGAGAGTGTACGAACTCTTTGTGTTATACATATACTCTGTACGTAAGATGACGTTACCCACACATGTATTCCGCTTTGCTAGATCTTTAGTTTAGTACAGATTCTTTATTGACACAACAAAAAAGTACAGAGACTTTTGTATGGTCTTCTACAACTTAACTAAAGATCTAACAAAGCTACATACATGTGTGGATAACGTCATCTTACGTACAGAGTATATGTATGATGTAACAATAAAGGTTAACTATTCTCTAACATGTGGTCTCTAAGATCGAAACATTCTTAAAAGACCATACAAAAGTCACTGTACTTTTTTGTTTTGTCAATAAAGAATCTGTAATCTGTGTTCGCCACTTGTCCCACAGCCTTAGGCAACCAATTAGGCGACAAAAGACGTCATGATTGAGCCTTAATTAGACGTAAAAAATACGTCATGAAGAAAAGGTCAAAGCGATCAAGGGCGAGACATCAACTGAAAGATGGCGGTGGCAGCAGGAAAAATCAAAACGTTGTGGTCGGCGTTCCTGTGTCTGATCTTTCTGGTTCTGTACGTGAACTGGGCCGGACCGGTGTGGGACCAGCTGGACATGCCGATAGCGACACCGCTTCAGAAACAACCACGGAATTCAAGGTGATGTTGTGGGGGCGTAACGGTAGAGTGTTCGCCTCGGAACCAAGAGGCCCCGGGTTCGAACCCTTCCATACCACCGATCTTATGCTTAGGTCACATTTTCAAACTTGGGCCCGGCCGGGCTGTTTGTATGAACGAAAAATGAACAATTCATATCAAGAATATACAGAAATGCTTATAGTGCCCATGATTGTTATTAAGAACTTTTCCGTGTTTTGTTGTCTTTTATATCATATTTTTGGTTCCCAAAAGCTGCCCGGTCGGGCCCCGTGTGGGAATTGTGACCTCAGCTTTAACTCAAGTGAAAATGAGTATGTCTGTTGTCAGTGCATAAAAACAAGTTGGAACAAATTTTAGTGTGCCGTCGCCATGTATTGTGATAACCGTTGGAATAAAAAAAAAGGGTGATGTTGATTTGTTCCTTCGTTTTTGACCCTGTATGAATAGCAAAGAATAATAAATATATATATGGTTATCCCCCTCCCATCTCCATTATCTGACTTTCGCCATGTAAGGGGTTGGATAAGCCCCGGTGGCATTCGTAGTAAGTTTTCTTTGAACATAGGACGTTCATCGGGATTCGTGGCAGGATTTCTACCGATCATCGAAAAGGATAATATATAAATAACATGAATGAACTTTATTGCTCAACAATCGTACAAGGTACAATGTATGGCAGTAATACAACAATACTACAAAACTTAACTTACTACACTACTATCTAAACAGTATTTTAGTTACCATATGGTCATGTATTGATGATATGTTTTCGCTTATGGAATGAAGTGTACAGAAATTGGCCTACGTAAGCAGGTATGGTAGTTGGACATGATAATAATTCATGGAATGTATCATACCGTGTACCAGATTGGGTGAATTTTGTCTTAGTGGTAATAGTCTGTAAGAATGTATCTCTTTCTTTTCTATAGGTGGGACAAGTCATAACAAAGTGAAATTCATCTTCAATATTCTCATTACATGTGGGACACAGTCTCTGAGTGGCTGGTGTATCTTTTACGTCACGAGCCAGTCAATTAGTGTACGACGCATAGGCGACTGTACTAATTGTTATCAATTTGCTGCCTTAAACCTATGATGCTAAAGATGTAGCCATGCCCTCTCTAAAACAGTTAAGTACTAGAATGGAAGAAAAGGTGGCGAGGCACGGAAAAACAATTCATGGTGATCTCGTTCGTTGATTTTGGTTACAGTGATGCAGTGTTCGGGCGAAGTAGACGATTTCTGACAGCGACAGCAGAGAATCTGTCATCCCTCACGTCGGAACTCAGGACAATGCAGCGTAATGGGACAAGCCTGTCGTACAGAGACTCGTGTACAAAACCCGTCACCAACTTTGTTTTTATCAAGGTACGTACGGGCCAATTCACACACAGGCATGCAGATCGACTAGATATGCTTGTTGTGGGCGTATAAAAAGGCATATGTGACGTGGCCTGGGTTCATATAGGTCATAGCTATTATATCAATCATCTTCATTCACCCTCAATGACAGTTTGTGAGCTGTGAACGGAGGTAGCTGGTGCAAAGATAATGATTGGGCATTTCCCCGGTACCATAATCAGAAAACGGCCTATAGCTATGGGAAGCTTGAAAGATCGACGCATTAGGCTATAAATCCCGCAAAGACTTAGAAGATGTAGAAGTTAGAACTAGTTCTTTAGCTTCGTGGGGTCGTGTGGCGTAGCGGCAGAGTGCGCGACTCGGAACCTAGAGGTCCCGGGTTCAAGTCCTGACATGCCACCGATCTTGTGCCCTTGGAAAAGGCACTTGACACGACTTTCCTCACTTCGCTCAGGTGAAAATGAGCATTGTCCTGTCATGCATTTGTCCCCTGTGTTGGTGGCGGCATTAATATAAGTTGATAAAAAACTTGAGTGTGTCGTCACCACGTCTGGTGATTACATGTTGGAATTAAAAAAATAGTTCTTCGCGCGAGAGGAGTGTATCTACAACCATCATGTAGTATCTTTATTAAATATTCACATTTAATAATTTGATTTTGAGCTCAAAAGGAGAGAGACAGAGAGAGAGAGAGAGAGAGAGAGAGAGAGAGAGAGAGAGATCATTCACAGTCACTATTTATGGTATGTATGTTGTAGGTCCACAAGACTGCTTCAGCCAGCACTGCCGTCATCTTGCTGAGGTTCGCCTACAAACATCACATGATCATGTGCTTTTCACCCAAGAAAAACATCAGATTCGCTCTTACCTTCCCCAGGTGAAAGATTTCTCGTTAATTATCCACACATATTGCGTTCTTTCTTTCTTTCTTTCTTTCTTTCTTTCTTTCTTTCTTTCTTTCTTTCTTTCTTTCTATCTCTCTTTCTATCTATCTCTCTTTCTTTCTTTCTCTCTCTCTTTCTCTCTCTGTCTCTTTCTTTCTTTCTCTCTTTCTTTCAATACCTCACTAACTATTCGCCATTCGATCGGAGTCGATTAGTCAAGCCACTTCCAACCTGCTTGGTCATACATATCTTTATAGCCTGGTATCCAGTCTGATTCGTGGTCGGGCCCGCAAGAGCTCTGGCCCACCCGCCTCACCTAGGTTTCCCGGTGTGTATTTCACGAGAGATTGATTAGCCCTCCACGAGCACCGAGCAGGCCCTCCCAGTCTATCGTGTTGGAGGAAACCAAATCCCCAAGCATACTGTCTCTTATTAGCGTAACACTCCTACCGGGACGGTCTGTTGCACTGGGCGGGGAAAGCTATTAGAGCCCCCGAAGACACAACCTGCCTGAACACCCCAATACCCCCAATCACGTAAGACTGGATACCAAGCTAATATCTTTACAGTTGTAGTACCTAAGTGTTGTTTGTATAATGACACTTGTACAAATATTTGATGATACAGAAAGGAGCATACTCTTTCGAATGACGGGGCGAAACGTTACGACTTCACATTCTATAGGGAGTAGTACATTGTTGATACCAAGTTGACTCGGTGAAAGAATGCTGAAAACTAATTATGTTTACTGAAGGAAAACATATTGTTTTTGCTCAGTTCCTTCCTCTTCCTCTTCTCCAAACAGTGACCTCTGACCTGACCAATGACATGATTTGTTGACATCTGTCACCATGGTGACTGGTGTTGCGTTACATAATGTTGCAATTTCATGGTCTGCTCTGCTCCTGTCACCATTTACTTGTAGTACATGTATGTGAATGTGTTTGAGTAAGAAGTAACAGAGCAGACCATGTCCTAAGGTAAACATTTTGCATTTGCTTTGCAAATGTAACTTCTCTAATCAAAAGTTGATGCTGTTTTCTCCATTGATAGCACGGAGATATACAAGACCAACTGCACTCGATGGCCATTGTTTGGAGATCACTTCAACTTCTTAGTACATCACACGGTCTTCAACAAGACAGCGATGGACCGGGTCATGAAACCAGGCACCAAATACATCGGGATCATGCGAGAACCTCAAAGCCACTTCCGTTCACAGTTCTTCTACCGAAGAAAGGCTGTCCGATACGGGTTGATGAGAAACCGGAATCCACTGGGTGCCTTTTTAGATAACCCAGAGCATTACGAGCAAAAATGGACGAGAAATTTATCGTGGAGTGGTGAGAGAAACAACCAAGCTTTCACCATGGGTTTCCCGCCAGATCTCCTAGCTACGCGGGACACCATGCTCATGGATAATGTAATTAAGCAGCTTGGCCAATCGTACACCTTCGTCATCATCAACGAGTACTACGAAGAGTCCCTTGTCATGTTGAGGCGGAGGCTGTGTTGGGGTTTATCCGACATACTGCATTCCAACAAGAAGATCCACGAGCAACACAATCCAAAGAAATACATCCCCTTCACGGACAAACAGTTGGGGAATCATAGAAGAATCAACACCATAGACTACAGAATGTACGACTTCTTCAACAGAACATTCTGGAAAACCGTCCGAGAGGAAGAGGAAAGAGGGTTTTGGGAAGAAGTGGCTCAGTTCAAAATGTTACTAAAAAGAGTGAATACATACTGCTCGAAAGTAGGGAATAAACATTCTTTATTGATCCCAGCTGGAACGTGGAATGAACCTTTCTCATTGAATAAGAAATTCTGTGCAGGTTTGGAATGGAAGCCACCAAAATGGGCCATGGAGTTGTTTCAACAGATGATGCACGATAAGATTTGGAAACAGTTGAATAGGAAAAAATTGAAAGTTTGAAAAAAATTAGTTGCTCAGAGCATTGCGTAGCTGTTACAGTAACTTGTGATGTTTTAGCATGTTGTTTATATGTGATTTTGGAAGTGATAAATTATCAAACATTATTAGGAAAAGGCTAATTAGGACTATTTCCCACTCAGGAACTTTTATATAGTTAGGAAAGAAATGTTGATCTTTCGTTGTCGTCTATTATGCGCATTTTTCACATTGCTTGTATAAGTTTGAAGTAGCAAATCCTAGACAATTTCACCTGCACTTTTACACATGATAAACAGTGTTGTAATCAATAAGTGGCGCTTTCCGGAATAATGTAATTTTGTCATGGTATTACAGAACAAATGAAATGCATCCATACAGATTTGATTTTCGTAATAAAAATGTACACGTAAGACTTTTTGTGTAATTAAATATTCAACATATTCAAATGACGCAAACATCTTTGGTATATAAATACGTACATGATACATACACAATCGTGCTCGTAGCCGGAGGGGGAGATTTTTCTTTAGAGATGGACTAATTCCCCCGGACCCCCTAGGAACCTCGCGCCTACGGCTCTCGCTGGTCCCTCTGACAGTGGGAGGGACCCCCCCCCATTCAAATCCTGGCTACGGGCATGACAACATACGTACATACACAACGTCCACACACAAGGAGAGGGGGAAAAGGGACATTATCATGCATGTTTACATAAAAGCGCCACCTAGAGACCCTGCTAGCTTCTGCACTAATTGGGTTTGAATTAAACAGGTTGTTCTGGTGCGTGATGTTAGGTCAGTAATGGCGGCCGCCATGATTCGGCTTATCAGAGCCTTTGTTTTTCTATCCTGCATGACAATCCTCGCCACTTGCTTCTGGGTTTGGCAGCTGAGAGTCGCGCAAAGGTAAATAACATGTTGTTCAACATCTTTGTTCACATATTATGCAACACTGAACGATACATGTACCAGTTCCATATGAATTAGTGATCGAGAAAAATAATATCCAACTGGAAAAGTAACATTTGCAAAGCAAATGCATAATGTTTACTTTCGCATATGGTCTGCTCTGTTAATTCTTACTCAAACACACTCACATATATATATATATATGGTGACAGGAGTGTAAATCCCTCCTACTATAAAATTGCAACATTATGTAACCCAACACCAGTTACCATGGTGAGAGACAGTCTGGTTCAGTCAGGTCAGAGGTCACTGTTTGGAGAAGAAGAGGAAGAAACGTAGCAAAAACAATATGTTTTCCTTCGGTAAACATAAGTAACAGAGTGTATTATGGTTATTATTATATATTCAGACAACAGTCATTGAACAAACATACAGAATTTCACTTATGTGGCCCAGAATTCGAACGTGTTTGTACTAGTACAAAAGTGACCATGGCATGATTGCTGTCACGTAGCGACCCGTTCAACTTCGTCAATGTCACCTTTTGTTATCACCTTCGCCAAGAAGGTTATGTTTTCATATTTGTTTTCATATTGGCGGCTTTTGTTGGTACTGCAGCATAACTTCCGGTTTTTAAATCTCGCGATCTGGACATGCTAGGGTCACGAAATTTGGTTGGTAGATAGCTCTTGGGATAGGAAAGAAGTGACATGAGTTTGGGCCCCCCTAGCGGCTTGTTCTGGAACTGCAGGAGCATTTGTTGAAAAAAATTTCAAAAGAGGATAACTCATAAACCGGTGGAAGGATTGTCATGATTTTTGGTATGTAGGTAGCTGAAGTGATGCTTGACATAATCAGATGATAATTATGCAAATCAGGAGCTAATTTGCATAATTAATGAGGAATTTTTTTTACAGGAAATCGTCTAGATCTGATGTCAGTTCTTCGTTGATCACGACAAACGAAGTGGAGACAGTCAGTGGAGGCTCCTGTAAAGTTCCTGTCACAAACTTAATGTTTATCAAGGTGGGTTTTTGTACCTTGAACTCTACATTTAAGTAGACCGTAGCTTAGGACACTTGCTTGCCACTAACATCGTTTTGTTTCCCTTTTCTTAGGCTGAAGACACGGTGTCAGACGGAACGGCCAGGATTCTACTGAGGTTTGCTTACAACCATCGCATGGCTATCTGCCATCAGACAGGGGCTGATCATTTTCTACTCACACATTCAAGGTGAGAACGATTATTTCACTGTCACTAGTTACAATATACTTAAAATTATGCTTGGCATCTAAATACATTATATAATGTGGTAGGAAACCCACCGTACCATCTACATTTTCGACGGCAAAATCTTATGTTATTTTTTATATTCCAACATTTCATGACTAGACAGGAACGCCACCAACGCAGAGGACAAATACAAGACAGGGCAATACTCACTTTATTTAAGTGCATGAGAAAGTTGTGAAAAGTGCCGTTCCCAATGGCACAGGATCGGTGGCATGTCAGGAATCGAACCCGGGAGCTCTTGGTTCCGAGTCGAGCACTCTGCCGTTACGCCACACGACCCCACAAAAACATGTTGTTTTACCCTTGTGTAAAAGGGTGCCACCATATTGGTCTGTGACGTCATGGCTCGGCCATCTTGTTTATTGTTGCTTTTGAGCGATTCGGAGTTGACAATGAGATCTATTTCTATCATGAAAGTTCATCTGTGTTGGTAGTTACATGTTTAAAGTTAAAACTTTTGGTCCAACACAAAAAATTCTCTCACCTAGAGCTTTTGACCAGTCACTCTGGTCCTCCTCAGTAGACTGACCCAGTGAAGCTTGTCACGTGGCTTCTTTGACATGTGACGTCAACACTGGGTCAAAGGTATCTGGTAGACGATGTCGACCCCCGTCGCGGTTCAATGTAGGGTGATGGGACATAGTAACTACCAACACAGTTGAACTTTCATGATAGCATCTTGTTTATTGTTGCTTTTGAGCAATTCGGAGTTGACAATGAGATCTGTTTCTGTTTACTAGGATAGACGCGTCTGACTGCCAGCAGAATGATGGGAAGAGCAACACTTTCTTCATGAACCAACCCGTGTTACCTGGGACCAGATACATTGGGATTATCAGCGAACCAGTAACATCATTTCTGTTACAGTTCTTCGACAAGCACAATCTTAAAGTGCTCGGGTTAGAAAATCATCCGAATCCATTAGGTGCCTATCTAGATGACCCAGAGATAAATGAAAGAAGTAGCGAAAAACGTGCACCGCAGGGTTATGTTGGGCAAAGAAACAAGCAAGCTTTACAACTTGGTTTCCCACCTAGTGTCCTCATGACAGCTGATACTGACATCGTAGATAATGCAATAAAGCAGCTCAACGAAAGGTACACCTTCGTCATCATCAGTGAATACTACGAAGAGTCTCTTGTGATGTTGAAGCGAAAGCTGTGTTTGGATATGTATGACATACTGCACTCAGTCAATAAGAACCCAAAGAAATACATCCCCTTCACGGACAAACAGTTGGAGAATCATAGAAGAATCAACACCATAGACTACAGAATGTACGACTTCTTCAACAGAACATTCTGGAGGAGCGTCCAAGAAGAAGAGGGAAGAGGATTTTCAGAGGAAGTGGCACAATTTAGGAAACTACTAGCAGATGTGAGGAAATATTGCTCAGAGGACAACAACGAAGTGCCGATTGTTGAGTTGCCGGCGAGCAGATGGAATAATCGATTTCTAATAAACCATAGGTTTTGTAAAGAGTTGAAGAGGACGAGTGGGAAGTGGACAAAACACATAATAGTTCAAGTCAAAAATCAGCTTATATGAACAGACAAGTATCTTTGTAGCCAACATGAATGTCATTACATGATGGCCTTGATAAATATTTACCATTGAAAAGGAAAGCAGTTGAACGGTCCTCATCGTATCAGTTATGAAATCTATGATTATTACCTTCATGAAAAATGGAGGTATTGTTTTTGTTTATGTTTAGTACATAATTAAATGCAAATTATTCAAATGAGGACTTAATTGCATAATTAATGAGGAGATTCTATAATTACAGTGTTTTATATAACAGTACTGCTATACGTGTAATGTATTTAATCTGTGGCAGGCGGAACATTAACAGGTACCAATTATGCAAATGATGACCTTATTTGCATAATTAATGTGAAAATTTTGTTGGGCATTTTATACCTTGTGACATGTGTAAGTCACTTACAGGTTAACACCGCTATGCATATATTATGTTAATGTAGAGGTCATTTGCATAATTAATGAGGACATGTCATTAAAAAAACTCATTTTATGGAGGTATGAGATCTACGAATTCTTGTTGGGTAAGGTTAAATAAAGAACACAAACATTGAAAACACAACGTTTGTTGTATGCCTTTTCATGTATTCTTCAATACGTCACGGAGCATCCTTCTCCAAGTTGAACACTAGGGCAGATAGCTGGTGACAAAGTTGACTACTTTCATACACAAGCTGTAGATTTTGTCAAGAAACACGTAAAATAAATTGAATCGTACAATGGTTTGAGTGGCTAAGGAGGATACGGCTCCGTCTGCAAGGTAGTCGCTTTCGTTAGGATCCAGTAACTGTTGTGCAGTGCTCTCTTCTTCATTGCCGCTGCCCTGCTCATGTTGATGGGAGAGTTTCTCGATGTTGTCCACCGTGTCGCGAACACGCCCTTCTGGTAATTCTGGTGGCTGCAAGTTTAGCTTCTTCCTTCCATCTTTCTCGGAATCACTCGGCGTTGTTCGAAGCTTCAGGAACGTCTCAGTAGTCTGAGATGATTGCCTGCGAGGAACGACAATGTCTTCCCTGTGGTCGGCCATCTTGTCTGCGTCTTGCTCAAGCTTGAGGACAGTTTGACGTACAGTTGAGCTACCATCACTAGAATATGTGTTAGCTACAGGAGTAGCTGCCTGTGGTGTTGAGAGGGCTTCTTCCGACAGACTTCGGGTATCGGGTAACGATCGGCTGGATCTAGGGAATGGTACGGGTGCAATCTTAGCAGGCGACTCAAGAATCTCATAGGAGGTCTTGGTGAGGGTTTGGCTTCTGTTGTCAGCTTTGGCATCCAAGGTATCGTGTACAAGTTTCTTGTCCAGATAAGTTTTCCTTTCTGAGAATGATTCGGCCGAATCTCCAGCAGAATGTTTCTCTTCTCTACCGACAGGGCAAGGCACTGATATTCCTTTGCCAGAAAACGTTTTGTCGCCCTCCTCCGCCATTTTTGCTTCCAGTTGCTTCCTGATGTCTGCTACTGATCTGTCTTCTGGAACCTTCTCGGTGTGCCTGTCGTTTGATTCCACGCGTTGCAACTTCACCTCAGGTGTAGCCCTTTCCTCCATCCTGTTACGTAGGTGTCTGAAAGCTTCCCTCGTCATGTCAATGGCAGTGTCTTTCGAAGAAGGGACGTCTACTTTCTTCACTGTTTCCGCAGACAGTTGGTCAATAGCTTCCATGATTCTAGGAGATACCATTTTCGCACCCTTTTTCTGGCTTGCATGCTTTGCGGGCGTGCTAGGAGACTTCTTTTCAACTTCGCCAGAGGGCAATGTTGCAACAGCACGTCTGTTTGAAGATGGGCCATCGTGCAAGGGGTTTTTGTCAATCTGCTGTTCCAACAGTTGTCGCATGGCGGCGATCTTTGAACCAATCACAGTCGAAGTTCCTGATGATGATGGGCTAACATCATAAGTAACTTCTGAGCCAACTGCACCGGTACGTTGTGTATCATTTTTGTCAACCACACGGGTATTTGCCGTGGATAGTTCCCCTTCAACCCTCGGTGGCTGAATGACGCCCTGCAGTTCTGCTTCTAGTCGCTGCGTGGCGCTATGAATCACGTTTTTGACGAACTCCTCCACCATGTGTTGAGTTTTCCTTGTCTCCGTCCACCTCTTGTGGACCATATTATTGGTAACTACCGAGCCCTGCAGTTCTGCTTCTAGTCGCTGCGCGGCGCCGTCAATCACGTTTTGGACGAACCTCTCCACCATGTGTTGAGTTTTCCTTGTCTCCGTCCACCGCTTGTGGACCACATCATTAGTAACTTCCGTGCCCTGCAGTTCTGCTTCTAGTCGCTTTGTGGCGCCACCAATCACATTTTGGACGAACTTCTCCACCATGTGTCGAGTTTTCCTCCTCTCGGTCCACATGTTGTGCAGCTCGTCCATGAAAACTCGGTCGATCCTCGGCTCCCGTTGAGCTTGTCTGGCCTGGCGCCGCTCTAGCTCTATCTCCACGCGAGACGGGACCAGCCCAAAGTACGGGCAGGACGGGGAGACCACGAAGTTAGCGGGTGGATGCGAGCAGGCCGACCGGATAGGCTCGGAGGACGGCCTGCGGAGGAGAGAGGATGACGCCTTGGACGATGCCATTCGTGCCATTTGGTTATTTAGGAGCCTGTACAGGCGCTGTGCAGGGGGGACGGACAGGTACACTGGGTTTGGTCCCGTCGGCTGTGGGGCTGCAGTATAGGCAGGCTCAGAAGGCGGCGCTTCTGCTGGATTCAAGAAATGGCGGTTGGTCCATTCAGGAGCGTCATCTTCGCTGTCAGAGTACCCAAGCTCTTTCAGCAAAGCTGGAAGAACCATTTCATTATTCAAAGGATAATTTTTTGAAATATCATAACACTCTAACGTTTCAAAGCGACATACAGAAACGATACTTGCAAGTCTAGATCTAAACTCTGCAGCTGTTGACCAATAGATGACGACGCGATTTTTGCTCAACCCACTCCAAAGAGAACAGTGCATACACTTATTAATGCATCCAGAACTAGTGTCTTGTCTATCTAGTTTTATGCCTCAATGTCTTATCGTTAGAATCAGGCACGGTTCTGGATAGTCTCCGCGTATCCAAGAACGTAGATTGTGCTTTAGGCACGGTTCTGGATACGTGTGGACTATCCAGAACCTTGAATGGTTCTGGCTAAAAGAACGGTTTAAATAGAACAATCAGCATATGTGTGTAAAATCCCTCGCGACCAGAGGTTTTGTCCATTCTGTCCCAATGATATTGATGACGAACAACATTTTATTTTGAATTGTATACTATATAACGATAAACGCCAAAGCTGTTCAACCTTCTCTCCGCTTGCTCAACAGAATTTGTTACATTTAATGCTATAGATAAATTTGAGTTCATCCTAGAAGGCAATAACCCTTACTAGTACTGTACATGTGTACATGTGTACAAATAGGTAACTATATCAAAGAATGTTTAACATCTGTGTCCATAATATCACCAGGGTCCATAATATCGGCACCTTGAGAAACAGTGTGCTTAAAGATATTTTTACTGCAACATACTTTTGGAATGCACTCCTTCACATCAAATGTACATACCTAGGGTATGTTGCAGTAAAAATATCTTTAAGCACACTATTTCTCAAGGTGGTGATATTATGGACCCTGGTGATATTATGGACACAGATGTTAGACCTTAGAACAAGTAGTATTAGTTGACTCATCTATTGTTTTGTACGTAGGTTAATTTTGTTGTACCCATGTATATTTGTCTGTATATTTACATGTCTTAGACCTTACGAAAGTCGCTGTACTTTTGTTGTGTCAATAAAGTTCTCTCTATGTCTCACCTTCATCTGGCATATATTCCGTGACTTGATTTTCTTTCTTGGAGACCATGGAACTCGAGTCGCGGTCAAGGGCACAGTTTACATTTGAGCCGGGCGAATCCTTGTCTTCAGTGTCATCGCCGTTGTCATGGTGATCAGATGGACACGTCCATTTGGCCGGAGGTAGGAGGGTGTCCCAGGCGACCTGGATACACGAAGGTGGTACTGTGGACAAACAAACGAAAGGACGGAGAATGATAACTCTGCACTACTGCAGGACGGTACACACGGTAGACAGAGTGGGGGTTCTCTCTGAACTCTTGGGCATTGTTCGAAGAACCTCTTCGAATTCTAGAATCCGCCGATTAGAGCCTAGAACGTAACGGTTATCCTAAGATGCCCCAATCTTATCAAATCGAAAAAGGTCGACACCACAACACATACACCAGCCACTCAGAGACTGTGTCCCACGTGTAATGAGAATATTGAAGATGGATTTCACTTTGTTATGACTTGTCCCACCTATAGAAAAGAAAGAGATACATTGTTGCAGACTATACTAAGACAAATTTCACCTAATCTGGTACACAGTACGATACATTCCATGAATTATTGTCATGTCCAACTACCATATCTGCTTACATAGGCCAATTTCTGTACACTTTATTCCATAAGCGAGAACACATCATCAATACATGACCATATGGTAACTCAAATACTGTTTAGATAGTAGTTTGTAGTAAGTAAAGTTTTGTAGTATTGTTGTATTACTGCCATACATTGTACCTTGTACAGTTGTTGAGCAATAAAGTTCATTCATATCAAGTGTAGCGCGTTTTGCTTTGTTTCGACTGGTTGTATTTGTTTTGACGTAGCTATATCTTAGATGATATTAGATGTAATTTCTTTGCCCAGGGGGTTAGCGTTAGGGGCAGTACAGGATATCACAGTCAAAAGACAATGGGTAAGGGTAAGCTGGTCAAAACTATCAGTAAATGGCATATAAGGATGCGTATTTTCAGAAATGTTTGCCCTTCAACTTGCTATGCACGTAGTAATCGCTTGGTGGCGTTTGCAGTTCTAACCTTCAGCACATAAGCTTTACGAGTTCTCTACATAAATGTGGTACCGTGCACGTGCTGCAATGCTGTACTACTTAAACAGTTCAGCTCCTACACTGAAAGTCGCAGCTTCCCTATAGCTAAAACGGGTACAGCATTCTGGAACAACCCTTAGCTTAGCAACATAACAATACGGTACGATATCGTAGAGTATACAAAGGTACAAAGTGCACAGAAAAGTATCACAGAATTTCTATGCAAGAAAAGTCAAATACTATAATAAGAAAGTGAGCTCGAGCAAAAATTGTTTTATATGAAGCAGGGTGTCACAAATTTTGCATTGACGTTTTTTTTTCAAGTCCATTCATGGGCAGTTATACAGTAGAAATTTGATTTGAGCGTTTGACAGAATAATTAAAAAACTTTCTAGAGTGTTCACCAACAATGATCATAGTTTAAACGTAACAGTTTTAACGTACTTGTACATGAATACATTATGTATATTCCATCATTTTGGGTCACTAACAGTCACATATATACAGTATGTATTCCATCATATTGGGCCACTAACGGTCACTACCCGAAAGACAGCCCCGGTCTCACGTAGCCCACGCGGTTGTGTTGAAAGCTATGCAAAGCAAAAGCTTCAGGGCTGCCGGTATGTTTTTTTAAGTAGCAGACGAGAACATTGACTGGACATAAAGTTAACTTAAGTCAAGTCAAAGAACTTTGTGGAAAGCTCTTACGCCCGAAAGCTATTAGCTTGAGAGCTTTGGTGGAGTCATTCACATTGTATTTCGTGTATGAGGCGCCGCAAACGCACTTTGTTTGATGTTAGGCCACACCAAGTAAATTTTATGGATGACGTCCACGCGCGCATTGATTTTGGCCTCTTCCTAGAAAAAAACGCACAAGAAATTTCGCTTCCTTTCGCTACCAAAGAGTCACGACAGTGTCGCAAATCGTCAGATTGACGTGAAACCCGTAACGCGAAGAAAGTGTCTATTGACAGGACCATCCTGTCAATAACAGAAAATTTTTCATTGTCCACTGTTCCACCTGATTTATTGCTGTTTTGATGATGAAGAAAAGACATCTTGCTTAGCTTGTTACACTGTGTCACCTCATTCAATTTGTGTCCTAACATTTGTCGTCTCTTAGTATATATCTAATCTAGGCATCTTGTTTTTTAGGGCCCTTCTTGTTTTTTTTCGCCCTCTCGCATTAGATTTAGGGTCTCCAAAGGACGTCATCCATAAAATGTACTTGGTGTGGCCTTACGGAAAACTTGAAGTTGAACAAACGTGAGCTATTAGCAGCCTCTACCAGGCTTCAGAGGCGGCTGGAAAGAGTAAACATTTGCCAAATAGACAGACAACATGTCAGGAGAGTTAGCCCGCAAAAAGGAGTAGTTTGTTTGTTTTCAGCCGCCTCTGAAGCCTGGTAGAGGCTAAACTATTACAAAAAGATTGACGTTGATTACACCGTTACTAATGAATATGGCGCCATGCAAATGGCCTTTTATCGGTTTCGATATATATCCCATGGAAAGCTAAAACGAGCGTGATCTAGACGCAATCTCCAAGTAGATGTTAGGGTTAGACCTGGCCATCTAGAGAGAGTCCTCGGCCGCTCAGGTAAGGCCACACCAAGTAATTTCTATGGATGACGTCCGCGCGCGCATTGATTTTGGCCTGTTCTAAGAAAAAAAACACAAGAAATTCTGCTACCTGTAACTATGACCAAAGAGTTACGATAGTGCCGCAAATCACAAGATTGGAAGTTGAGTTGAAATGAAAGAAACAGGACAGGACGACAACTGCTATTCCACTGATTTATTGCTGTTTTCGTGAAGAAAAAAGACTTCTTGCTTGTTACACTGTGTTCTCTCATTCACTTTGTGTCCTAACATTTGTCGTCTCTTAGTATATTTCAAATCTAGGAATCTTGTTTTTTCGGCCCTTATTGTATTTTTTTCGCCCTCTCGCATTAGATTTAGGGTCTCCAGAGGACGTCATCCATAAAAATTACTTGGTGTGGCCTAACTGTTGGGCAAATGAAAACAGCCTGGCCAATTTGATACTGTCTTTACAGCCACCGAAGGATCTGCTTGGAGATTATGAAGCTACACGTACATCATTTCCATGTATGTAATGTTTGTATGTTTCCATGCAAACTTACCTTGACATTCTACCGAAAGTGTGAAGGAACGTAAGCTATTAGATTGAGAGCACTGTCAAGGTCCTTTACCCGTTCCCATGTGTATGCGCTGTAAAGTGAATTGGCTTTGACATTGTACAGAACCTTGAATTAACGTAGCTTTTCGTTTAAAAGCATTGCTGGCACGGTTAAGTAGTGCCATATAACGACACAGCGAGACACCACGCCAAGTACTTACATTGAAACTGAGCCAGAAACTCTTCTGTGTCGTCGTCTGACTCCTGAAGGTTCATGTCGGCGACTTTTTCTTCCCAAGTTAGGAAAGTTTTTGGAGCAACGAACGGACAGCACGAAAACAACTACCGTTCGTGCGGTAACCACGGTATTAAAGGTGTTGGTCCGTTCTAGAACGTCGCTCTCTGTTGGGCTTTGTGGTGACCATGACAACGGTCACGTGACCTTTAACTAGACCATGACCTACCATGACCTCGGTTGACACGAGTAGGATGAAGCAGAAATATGCGTGGGGCCGTGTGGCGTAGCGGCAGAGTGGGCGACTCGGAATCTACAGGTCCCGGGTTCGAGTCCTGACATGTCCTGACCGATCTTGTGCCCTTGGGAAAGGCACTTTACACGACTTTCCACTTCGCTCAAAATGAGTATTGTCCTGTCATGTATGTGTCCCCTGTGTTGGTGGCGGCATTAATATAAGTTGATAAAACTTGAGTGTGCCGTCACCACGTCTGGTGATTACATGTTGGAATAAAAAAAAAGTACTTACATTGAAACTGAGCCAGAAACTCTTCTGAGTCATCGTCTGACTCCTGAAGGTTCATGTCGGCGACTTTTTAAATTTCTTCCCAAGTTAGGAAAGTTTCTGGAGCAACGAACGGACAGCACGAAAACAACTACCGTTCGTGCGGTAACCACGGTACTAAAGGTGTTTGTCCGTTCTAGAACGTCGCTTTCTATTGGGCTTTGTGGTGACCATGACAACGGTCACGTGACCTTTAACTAGACCATGACCTACCATGACCTCGGTTGACACGAGTAGGATGAAGCAGAAATATGCGTGGGGCCGTGTGGCGTAGCGGCAGAGTGGGCGACTCGGAACCTAGAGGTCCCGGGTTCGACATGTCCTTACCGATCTTGTGCCCTTGGGAAAGGCACTTTACACAACTTTCCTCACTTCGCTCAAAATGAGTATTGTCTTGTCCTGTCATGTATGTGTCCCCTGTGTTAGTGGCGGCATTAATATAAGTTGATAAAACTTGAGTGTGCCGTCACCACGTCTGGTATTACATGTTGGAATAAAAAAAAGTACTTACACTGAAACTGAGCCAGAAACTCTTCTGTGTCATCGTCTGACTCCTGAAGGTTCATGTCGACGACTTTTTCTCCTAAAGTTAGGAAAGTTTCTGGAGCAAAAGAACGGAGCACGAAAACAACTACCGTTCGTACCGTAACCACGGTACTAAAGGTGTTTGTCCGTTCTAGAACGTCGTTCTCTATTGGTCTTTGTGGTGACCATGACAACGGTCACGTGACCTTTAACTAGACCACGACCTACCATGACCTCAGTTGACACGAGTATGATGAAGCAGAAATATGCGGCATATATCCAGGGATTTGTATTCCCCCATTCAAATGGTTAGCAAAACTAGCAGGTATTTTACTATCATGAAAGTTCATCTGTGTTGGTAGTTACATGCTTAAAGTTAAAACTTTTGATCAAACACAAAGAAATCTCTCACCTAGAGTTTCGACCAGTCATTCTGGTCTTCCTCAGTAGACTGACCCAGTGAAGGTTGTCACGTGGCTTCTTTGAAGTGTGACGTCAACACTGGGTCAAGGGTATCTGGTAGACGATGTCGGCCCCCGTCGCGGTTCAATGAAGGTTGATGGGCCCTGATGTACATGGCTTCCTTCACCCATTTCAAGCACGGCACGAAAAGTGATATTTACGCACGCTTAAACACAGCGTAAAGGCCGCGTTTCTTCCCACTTTCCGCACCTTTACGACCCCTAAACGCGAACGTAAAGATTGCCTTAACGTGGACTTTCCGGAAGTTCGGAAAGGGCATTTATTTTCCCACTTTCACGGTGCCTTTCCGCGACTTTCAGATGCTTAAAGGCGTAGTTAAGCAAATCTTTCCGTGCCCTTTACCGCGAATCCTTCACGGAAAGCATGTGTTTATTCTGGCCTTTCCGTAATCTTTTGGGTACCTTTAACATTTCTTTACGTCATACATTTCACGTCGGAACCTGCACGGAAAGCATGCGTTTATTGTAGCCTTTCCGTAGTCTATTGGGGGTCTTTAAAACTTCTTTCCGTCATGGTTTTCGGGTTTTGCTGTACGCTTAAAGGTGTCGTAAAGTATCCTTAACGTGTGCGTAATATTGACGTTTATTTTGCTTTATTTGTGCGTTTATTTGCCGTTAATGAACAGTAAATTTCTGTGCCATAGGTAGCCTTTCCTGCCTTGGTAGACTGGCTGGATCGGGCCGTCGGTAGCCTGGATGCCATAGCAAAATATACCCAAAGTTCTAGTGTGCCTTTCATCCAGGCTAGGCCGTCGGGGGAGTTGATGACCGAGCGGCAAACTCCACTCGGAGTTCTTAACTCCCCCGTAGCGCTCATGTAGATTGGCGGGCATACTGCCATGTTCCGCCGACGGGGACTGGCTGAGGGCCCGATCCAGACTGGCTACCAGGGCAGGTTTTCCTTTGTTGTATCCGAGTACACAGCCACTATTCCAATTCCAGTGTCCATTTTCCCGCTATTCCATGTGATGTGGTCACCGCAAGAGTAATAATCCGCTAACTTGTTCCCGTGATGGTCAGGTCGCGCTCTTGCTCAACTTCTAAATCTGTGCTGCTCCCGGTTAGGACGAAACAATACGGCCGTGATCTTCCCCTTCTGCGACGTGACATGTTCAATATCTCCAATCTACGCCATTCCACAGACTTGTACAGAATGGTATAGATTTGTCTTAGTCCCGTCGTGGCCACTTCTGGTGATAAAAGCAATGTCTCGGACACAACTTGCGGGTTCAAACGAGTCCAAGCCTCCATAGAGTAGACGCACAGCAAAATGACTACTGGTATATTCAGTAGATTTGAAAAACCCACTCTTGTCTATCATTGGGTAAAGGCCTGTCACATGACCTCCTCCTGGCAGAAAGGGCGGAGATTCCCCAAACGGTCTTGTCATATGAATGGCGTTCGGGCTTGTTCACGGGTTGGTAATGAATAAATTCACATTTGGAAAACAAAAAGGAACCTCGTTGCCTGAACACAACAAATAGGCTAAAGAAACTAGAAATACTAGTAATGCCTGTGCATCCATGATTTTTTAACCGTTGAACTCTTGCTGCATAGAATATTCGGCATTTATAAAAAGAAAGAAAACTTTGCGGCGGAAAAAAATAAAAGTAGGTTTATAACAAAGCATACAAGGAAAGGGGGAAAGTTGGCGGAAAGCTTGCATAAAAGAAGCAATGAAAGAAACCGGAAGTTTTGGGAGAGCGACGTATATAAACAAATAAAAATAGTCTACAGTACATACAGCGCCCTACGTACTGGCACGGACCGTAGTAAATTTCTGGTAGGTTGTTGACTCAGAAATGATTGAGCGATTCTTTCGTTATCAGCCAGGAACTGATAACGAAAGAATCGCTCAATCTAAGGGGGTTCAATCAAAAGAATAACTAAAGATGAACGTCAGTAAAGTAGTCTACAGTTACACAGTATCATGGTCTATCTAGGTTTAAAAATGTTTTTATCTGTCTCGAGTTAAAATGTTCCATGAGTTGTGTTCTAAATGTTCAGAAACTCAGTAAATGCAGTGCCGTACGTATTGGCACTGACCGTAGTAAAGTTCGGGAGGTTCACTGAGAAGTTATGAGTTTCTGGTTAAACTAAAACTAAAATAGTCCACAGTTACCCAGTATTATGGTCTATCTCGGTTTGAAAAATGGTTTATCTGTCTCTAGTTAAACATATTCTATGAGTTCGAAATGTTCAGGAACTCAGTACGTACAGCGTCGCACGTATTGACACGGACCGTAGTAAACTTCTGGTAGGTTGTTGACTGAGAAATTATGGGGTCCTGGCTGATAACGAAAGAATCGTTTAATCTAAAGGAAAACTAAAATAGTCCGCAGTTACCCAGTATCATGGTGTATCTCGGTTTGAAAAATGGTTTATCTGTCTCGAGTTAAACATATTCTATGAGTTCGAAATGTATGTACAGGAAGTCAGTACATACAGCGCCGTACATACAGACACGGACCGTAGTAAACTACGGGTAGGTTGTTGACTGAGAAATTATGGGGTCCTGGCTGATAACGAAAGAATCGTTTAGTCTAAAGGAAAACTAAAATAGTCCACAGTTACCCAATATCATGGTGTATCTCGGTTTGAAAAATGGTTTATCTGTCTCTAGTTAAACATATTCCATGAGTTCGAAATGTACAGGAAGTCAGTACATACAGCGCCGTACATACAGACACGGACCGTAGTAAACTACGGGTAGATTGTTGACTGAGAAATTATGGGGTCCTGGCTGATAACGAAAGAATCGTTTAATCTAAAGGAAAACTAAAATAGTCCACAGTTACCCAGTATCATGGTGTATCTCGGTTTGAAAAATGGTTTATCTGTCTCTAGTTAAACATATTCTATGAGTTCGAAATGTACAGGAAGTCAGTACGTACAGCGCCGCACGTATTGACACGGACCGTAGTAAACCTTCTGGTAGGTGGTTGACTGAGAAATTATGGGGGTCCTGGCTGATAACGAAAGAAAGAATCGTTTAATCTAAAGGAAAACTAAAATAGTCCGCAGTTACCCAGTATCATGGTGTATCTCGGTTTGAAAAATGGTTTATCTGTCTCTAGTTAAACATATTCTATGAGTTCGAAATGTTCAGGAACTCAGTACGTACAGCGTCGCACGTATTGACACGGACCGTAGTAAACTTCTGGTAGGTGGTTGACTGAGAAATTATGGGGTCCTGGCTGATAACGAAAGAATCGTTTAATCTAAAGGAAAACTAAAATGGTCCACAGTTACCCAGTATCATGGTGTATCTCGGTTTGAAAAATGGTTTATCTGTCTCGAGTTAAACATAATCTATGAGTTCTAAACGTTCCGGAACTCAGTACATACAGCGCCGAACGAATTGACACGGTATTCCTGTAGCTTAACGACGCCTATACTATTTACGTCGGAAAGCTTGTTTATAGAACGAGGAAAGGAACCGTAATACAATGGACTACTAGTATGTTTTTGGAAAGCCAATATAAACATATAGAAAGGACTAATAATATGTTGTCGCATTTTCCGCTCTCAAATAAGTGTGAAAAGCATGGCGATTGCTACAATTTAGGGAAAACTTTACGACGGTACTAAGGAAAAGACAAAGAAACGCAACATTTCCTGCAGCTTATATAACGACGCCTATACTGTATAGGGGGAGATGTCTCTCGGTCGGCGGAAAGCTTGTTTATAGAAGGAGGAAAGGAACCGTAATACTGTGTTTTTGGAAAGCCAGACATAAACATACAGAATGGACTAGGCATGGTGTTGTTATATTTGGTCGCTCTCAAATATGTGTAAAAAAAAGGCGATTGATATAATTTAGGGAAAACTTGGCGACGGTAGGAAAAGACAAAGAAACGCAACATTTCCTGCAGCTTAACGACGCCTATACTGTATAGGGGAGATGTCTCTCGGTCGGCGGAAAGCTTGTTTATAGAACAAGGAAAGGAACCGTATGTTTTATGGAAAGCCAGACATAAATATATAGAAATGACTAGGCATAATAATGTTAGATTTTGCGGCGATTCAGCGAGAAATCATGGAAGATATCTAATATTTCAGGTAAAACCAAATATGAAAAAGCATATCAAATGCTTGTGTTCAGTCGCGCGAGGTTGGTAAGGACTTTACTCATAATAATCAAAAAGATCATATGGCTTTGAGATGCCTCTAGTTAACTCATTATAATAATTACCGCAATGCTTTCTTTACATTACATTTAAGTCCATGTAAAGCTTACAGAAAGAAACACGTTATATTAACGTGACATTTACACATGTGGAAAGGTTACGGAAAGGCCATATTTCCCTTTCGGTTGCCTTTCCGATGTCGTAAAGGCTGCTTAAATATTTCGCCGCCTTTAATACCTCTTAACGCAGTTCGTAAAGTTGGCTTAAATATGTGTTTTCGTGCTGTGAAGGGGACCGACATCTTCTATACCAGATACCTTTGACCCAGTGTTGACGTCACACTTCAAAGAAGCCACGTGACAAGCTTCACTGAGTTAGTCTACTGAGGAAGACCAGAGTGATTGTTCGAAAGCTCTAGGTGAGAGATTTCTTTGTGTTGGATCAAAAGTTTGAACTTAAAACATAGCAGGTATTTTATATGTGTCTTCTCCATTCTCATCATATAACACGAACTGAAAGTTAACTGAATTTGGAAAGCTTCCAGACGAATTAGGTTGATTTATTACAGTACTTAGCGAGGATCGTCTCTCTGTGTGGCAATTTTATTCACTGTATGACATTAATCAATGTTTAATAATCGTAGACGATATGCCTTATTTCCTTTTGAATGCCTGGGACTCCTGGGTTGAACGCCAACATAATGTACCGGATTCAATTCCAATTCTACCATCAGGCCACAGTAAGTAAATCTTATGGATGACAGCCTCCGTAGACTCCAAATCTGCGAGCGGGCGAAAAAAAAACAAGGCGGGCCGAAAAAAAACAAGGTTCCTACAATTTAAAATTTTGACTCAATCATTATTCAAATGGTTTTGATTCAGTGAGAACATCACATATACACAGCCAGCATCACATATCACTGCGTCAAAGTAAGAAACAAAACATTAAATCAGAGCCTTTTATTGTCTCTTCATAGTTATCTGCCATTCACCTTCCGGCATGGCAACAGACATCTTTGCCCATTTTCGGCATGTTGACCACTGTCAGAAGGCAACAAAATTTATTGTTTTTTTTTCCAAAATCAGGCGAAAATTAATGCGCGCGTTGATGTCATCCATAAAAATTACTTGCTGTGGCCTCAGTTGAGTCCGACACGGTTCATAGTGTGATATCCATCACAACAAATGGCAGTGTGCTAACATCTAATAAAGCATGGCGTGCACGTTACGGGGAAATTAAATTACTCCCATGCATAATACTGACTACAATCCACTCATAATCCACTACAGATGGGAATATAGATTGGAAATGCCAACTGGGAATGTGGTATTCCATCCATCAACGAAAGGGGGAGGGGGAATTCAACTATTAAAAGTAGATGATTGGTCCTCCCGTGAATAGTTTCATCAGGTTGGCAAGACACTGAGTAAAGAGACTACATTGTATAGCCTTGTTCATGTGAAGTCACCCACACCGCGATTCGGGTAACTCGCATTCCGCACATCTGGTCCACGTGCCATACATTCCTTGCAAACCGTGTCCGATCACGATTCTACGAAACTGCACTCATTGTTGTTTGACGAAAACACGCAAGGTAGCGTGTTATCAATGTCAGAGGTCAACGACCTGCTTGCTGGTGCCCCCCTCCCAGCGTATCTCGGCCGAATGCCGACGTGGTCCCGCCAGAGGCGGTGAAGCTCGTCCTAGAACGGACACATTATTTGACCATTACTGCTCTTTAAGTTACTGCCACGTAAAATTTGGTATTGCATATAAATAAGAAAATATCACCCCGTAATCCATGACCAGGTGAAGTCACATTGAAATCACATTGCGTTCAGACGCAAATCGCGATGCGGGGAAACCGATTCGAAACCACCTCTAGAAGTGGTTTGGGATCGAGGCACTTTCAATGTGATTTGGGGCGTTCAGATGGGGTCACTTGGAACTGGCTTCGGGGGAAACCACATGTAAAGCGCCTTCACTGACTTCATATGAACAGGGCCTAAAAGACTTGGTTGTGTAAAAAGAGTCTCTTTACTTAGATGATTGGTCACAATTCGTCGTCCACTTTCTTGACCTTGAGGTTCTTGGGGTGACAATGTCCGTTTGTTTGTTGGCACATGAGGTTTTCCAGGTTCTTTTCTCTCTTGAACACGTCGTAGAGTTGTTCTTCTCCGATGTCCCCGATATACATAAAACACATCTCATGCAACCTGAAGAATGAATGAATGACTTCATTTCAGGTTATCCCCATAGTACAAACATAAAACCACATAAAACATACAACAATTTATACACATTTTTAAAATACGTATTTCTGAACTGACAATCAGACCTCAATAGACAGTAGATAGAAGAAAAAGATCGTCCATATTTTAGCCTCTTCCAAGCTTCGGAAGTGACTGGAAAGCGTAGAAATTGGCCAAGGTAGACAGATAACATGCAAGAGGGATTTGGTCAGCTGAAGAAGTACAGTTTACCGCTTCTGGAACTCCTGTAGCCGGCCAACTCCTACATAGTATATTATCTGTCTATTTGGCCAATTTCTACTCTTTCCAGTCACCCTTTAAGTTTGTTACAGGCTACCGAGTTTTTTTTAAAGTCGACAAGATGGAAAAAAACTTACCATGTGTAAGTAAACCATCAGCAATACAGGTGTTAAGTGTTAGAATATCATGACATGACAACTATTGCCAATGTTTCACTTGTGTCTGCAGCTGCCTCTGAATTACGAAGAACCAAGAGTACAAAACCTATCTTCGCTGTTTAATAAAGCCCCTACGCTGAACACAACTTTTGTACCTATGGTCATTCGTACTGAACGTTTTCCTTAATTATACTCACCTCTGTGGCCACTTGTGCCCCGAAGCGGTGACTCCTGGTACCTCCTTGGTCTCTAGTCCTGGCCCCGAGAGCCGCTTCACTCCCTCAACGTCTTTTACACCCGTACTGTAATGTATTAATGCGCAAGGTCAGTGAGCCCATGTTACCTAAACAAACCAATTTGTTTCTATGGAATGACATTGCAAATAGAAAGAAATTCCATCCAAACCCTTTCCTACTTTCCACTGTATTGTAAACGGTAGCGTGTACTTAGTGAGTCATATAGGAACACGATGATAAGAAATTCAGAATATCTGCAGTGGGGTCGTGTGGCGCAACGGCAGCGTGCGCGACTCGGAATCAAGAGGTCCTGGGTTCGAGTCCTGACATGCCACCGATCTTGTGCCCTTGGGAAAGGCACTTAACACGACTTTCCCCACTAGACTCAAGTGGAAATGAGTATTGTCTGTCCAGTATTCGTTTCTATGTGCGGGACACAACACCAGCAACAGCTGCCTCTGTTCCGCGTGTATTGCATTGTTGCAATTTCAATAAAATAAAAAATAAATAGAATATCTGCAACGAGGACTGGAAAGAGTAAGAGTTCAAACAACATTCTATAGAAATTTTGTTCTTTGAATTTTCTAGTTGTCGCAATCACTTGTTGACCAATTGCTGACATCAAGTATTTGTAAAGTCTGGTGTGAATATAAGGTGACGTTTCCGTAACTCTCGGTAATTTACGTTCGGAAGTGGTCATTACTTATCCTGATGAAGGCAACAGTGGTTGTTTGAAAATTTGACCATTGTGTGGGCATTAAGTTCAGCATTGTACTTTGATTACTACCAAAGTGAACAAAGATGGAATTCTACTACCAATATCCCTATGACTGTTAGTCCAGTAGGAGAAGCCTGAAAAATGTATGTAAGACTATGTAAGACTATCTCTTCGGACTCCTGTAGAAGATAGACTCTGTAAGGTTTGTAACTCTGGTAGCGTAGAAGATGAAATACATTTTGTACTTGATTGTAAATTGTTTGATATTGAACGTGACACACTATTTAGAACAATCCACTTAGACAAACTGTATAAAGGTAGAACAAAGAAAGATGTATTCAGTCATCTCATGTCCTCCAGTAATGGCCATACAATAGAAAAACTTTGTGAGTTTATCCAATTTAAAAAGAGAGAAGAAATCCTTAAGGCGTAGATAAGTTTATTCTCTAGTAGTAGACTTTTACGTTATTCTGTTATCCTTGTATCCTATGTATCATGTTACTCAGTATGATGTACATGTAACATCACATTTTGATGTGTGCATTTAGCCCCATGGGCATGAACATGCAAATAAAGATTCATCATATGGTTCATCGTCCTCATACATACATACATTCAAACTTGATGGTAGACGCTGATCTTTGCCGAGAGGTCAATATTTGTAACGCTTTCTCATTACTTTTGTCTGACATGTTTCTCACCCCACGCATATATGTGAAATAACACCTCAGAGTCTCATTATAACTATGATACAACTTTCTTTAGACAACCTCAAATAAAAGAAAAAAAGTAAGCTTTTCAGGCTTACTGCCCGGAAAAATATGCGGTGCGTATTAGTGGTAGATCTTTCTCGTCAATGGTGACCGACGGTGTCCCCGCACCAAGTAACGTTACATCAAGATTATCCGACTATTATTAATAAAACGAGTTTGTAAGCTCCTTAGCTTGTCAAGCATATGACTTAATCATCTTAGCACCGAGAACATAACGTCCAATCTCTAAAACGTGAGAAACATGAACACAGACATTGCGTGCTCATCATTCTCAATTTTCACGTCAGTGAGGGTTGTCGGGTAATTGGTATAACGTTACATTTCAAATTTTAACGTTCGAAGACATGTCGCCTCGTGATTGGTCAGTTGCTTACCGGTCAAATAACTGCAATTTCGCATAGTTTTTTGTACTAGCCTGAATATACCTTTTTATCTAGAAAATTCATAGAACAAAATTTCTATAGAATGTTGTTTGAACTCTTACTCTTACTCTTTCCAGTCCTCGTTGCAGATATTCTCCAAGCCGTCGATGATTTCGGACAGCGGTAATTCTTTCACCCATCTTCCTCTCGGTCGGGTAGACATTTTGTCCAGTTTCTGTGTGAACTGGAAGCAAAGGTCATGTCTTAATGGATATAAAAATACGGAAATACGAGTGTGTTTGTTCGTTTGTGTGTATTTGTGTGTGTGTGTGTGTGTGTTTGTGTGTGTGTGTGTGTGCGTGCGTATGTGTGTGTGTGCGTGTGTGCTGCGTGCTTGAGTGAATTTTTGAATGTGTATGTCTGTGTGCATGTGTGTGCTTGTACATGTGCCTGAGTGTGTGTCTGTCTATCTGTCTGTCTGTCTGTCTGTCTCTCTCTGTGTTTGTGTGTGTGTGTGAGAGAGAGAGTGAGTGGTGTGTATGTGTGTGCATGTGCGCGTGTGTGTGTGTTTGTGTGTGTGTGTGTGTTTGTGAGTGAGTGAGTGGTGTGTGTGTGTGTGTGCGTGTGTGTGTGCATGTGTGTTTGTGTGTGTTT